CTCTCTCTCTCTCTCTCTCTCTCTCTCTCTCTCTCTCTCTCTCTCTCACACACACACACACACACACACACACACACACACACACCCCAATGGCTCAACTAGAGAATATGTGAACTAATTCAATCAAAAACACTGTGTTTATTTATTATTATGGCATGTTCAACCTTCTTCCCCCATGCAAGGAACCCAAGGCAGCTCACATGGTCCTTCTCTCCATGTTTTTTTCCCTTACAACAACCCTGTGAGGTTAGTCAGGCTGAAAGTCAGTAACTAACTTAAGTCACTCAGTGAGCTTTGGAGCTGAGTGGGAACAAAAACCCAGATCTCCTGAATCACAGCACTGTAACTAGTACACCACACTGGCTCTGAGAAGCAGTGCCTGCCACATACTCTGCCTGCTACAACACATTCACATGCAACCTGGAAGTCAACACTTGGTGCTGCAGTCCTCAAGAGAGGAACACGTGTGTGAACGGCCCAGGAAAAAAGAGGGCCAGCCCTCTGCCCATGCACACCAGCCGCAGAAAACCGGTTATACCAGGCCACCAAAACTGGCCAGGCTCCCTTACCAGAATTCACTCCTAGTGCCCATAAACCACTGATCTCTAGGCTTCCAGGTTTAATCCCCAGTTCAAGTAAGTCACATCAGAGAGCCAGGCAAGGTCCTCCTCATGAAACCTTGGAGAGCTGCTACCAGCCTGCACAGCCCTGGGCTAGATGGCCTAGTGGGCTGATTCAGTGCAAGGCAGCTGAACCTATCAGCCAGAAGAAAGCCCTGTCTTATTTCCACACTGTGTCGTTGCCAGGAGCTGTCCCCCAGCCACAGATCCCTGCCTCCTTCACAGTACAGTCCTCCTTACCCTCTTCCTCACAGCTGGGAGCCACAACAGCCAACCCCTAGAGTAAGTCGACCCCTTTGCCGTGAGCAGGCCTTTCTCCCCTCACTTGGGGTGGCATCTGCTGCAGCTCCAGAGCCTTTCTGCCACAACGATACCAAGCAAGCATGGTGCTGTGCAAGGCAGCTGCTTCGCTGAATCGACAGCAGCCCAAGTCTCCGACAGAGAAACCCGGCTGCCACGTCTCGAGCACCCCTACTGTCAGCACTGCTGAGACAAGAAGCAAGGAAATCAAACTCTTGTGTGTACTCACAGCTGTGAAGTTCCTGTGGCTGCACTCCTGCCCTCGGAACTTGCAGTAGAGCAGCATCTCCTTCATGTCGTGGCCCACCCGCCCCAGGAACTCGCTCATGCTGAAGACTTTGGCTCGGTGGTGCTGGAAGTTGGTCTTCTCCCGCAGCACGGCCAGGACCGCCGGGTCTGCCAGGTGTGGATGCAGGACCTGCAGGTTGACATCCAGTAAGGCCAGAAGATCCCCAGCGTGGTACAGGTCGTTGGTGGTCAGGCGCGAGAAGCGGAAACCGTTCAGGTTGCAAATGGTGACTGCCGGGAAGACCAAGCTGTGGGCAACGACCTCGTCCACCTTGGTGACGTGCTGGTAGGAGAAGTAGTAGACCACCCGCTCAGAGCTCTCTACCAGGAGCAGGCCCAGGGAAGCCACAAACGCCAGAGCCCACAGGGCCCGCCGGACAGTCATAGGTCCATAGACAAAGATGTGGCGGATGCCGTGGAGGGTCGAGGTGTTGGCAAAGATCTGGAGGCTGGAGGGCTGCAGGCTGCCCAGGCTTCCCTCGCTGGTGCTCTCCTTCAAATCCATGGAGAAAGGATTGGTCATAAAGGTGCCACTTCCCTCTTCTGCCTGCAGCCAGCTTCTCCTGTACTCCAGCCCTCACTCATGGGGTGAAAGAGACAGCAGGCAGGCAGGCAGGCAGGGCAGCTGTATGTACGTGTGTTTGGGTGGCAGTGGGAAAGGTGCCTCCTGCGTGCTCTCCAGCAGGCTGGCAGGGGGGTTAAAATGTTTATTTAAAATCCATTGCAACTCTACCGCTTGATTTCCTCGCTGCGATAAGGAGGGCTGGTTTTATTTAGGGAGACACCAAGGTGATGTGGAAGAGATGTGGGTGGGAAGGCAAGGATCAGCCAATAGAAAGAGAGCCCTCCCCCTTCCTTCACTCTCTCACTCTCTCTCTCTCTCTCACACACACACACACACACACGGACAGACAGACAGGCTAGTGAAGGGATTACCTGTGAGTGCGTGTGTGCAAGGGCGGAGGGGGGGCAGTCTGAGCTGTGTGCAGCCCGCAACTAACCCCGCATGTTCAAGGATGCTGCCGCTGCTCTCCTGAAGCCAGCACACTGCAGAGCGCCGCGCTGCTCTTGACGGAGCGGCAGGACCCCCCTCCCTGCCTGAGCGCATACACTCCATGCTGCTCCTGATTTTCCAGGCTGCTGAATTCCAGCATCCTCCTCTGCTCTTCCCGCTCAGGCAGTGCCTCCACTCCAAGCCTAGTTGGGAAATCTCAGTCTGGGGAGTTCTTCTGAAAGCAAGCCCAGAGGAAGGAGGAGGACAAAACGCACAGGACCAGGGGCTGGACAGGAGCAGGCCTTGGCGCCGCAGTCGAGCATCTGGGAAAGATGTGACCTTATCCCAGACGGTTCTTGTGGCAAGGAAAGAAATCAGCCAGGACTGTGCTCCAAGGATTTGCCGGGAAGGCACCAGTGCCACTGGGCTTGTCAGCAGCAAATAAGTTTTCCTGTTTTGCCATTTAACATTTGCCATCTGTTTTAACAGGGTCCCGTCTTCTCCCTAGGAACCTCCACACAACCTACCTTTTCTCATCTAAAAACCAGGAATCTGATGGACATGAGAAGCTGCAAACGAGAAAAATTGGGCGCCAGGGTATGTCACAATGCCATCCAAACTCATTCTGATTTCTGCTAAGATGTATATGTTATGATGAAATAAATGTTTTGCATTGGGTGAATGATGCCATCATTCTCACATGAATTTTAATTATCTCAGATTTTTTTCTTTGTCCTAGTCTAAAAACTGAAGAAAGAGACTGGTGAATCTTACCCATTTCTTAAATGTTATGGTCAGTATTCTAAATGTTATGCTTAGTGTTTACTCATGTGTGTACATATGTGCATATAAAATAGGAAGATGTATATCTAAATATACAAAGGCTATATATATATATTCATAGAATTTAAAAGTCAAGAGAATACTGCTATTCAAGAGCAATATATATTCACTGTAATGTGTATACACACACGCACACATGGAATTATCCAGCCACTGGATTCAGTGGAACGTGCACTGAAGCAGACGTGCACATGTGCGAGAAGCAGGATCATCCTGTACTTCGGGGCCATAGTCCATCCCTGTTTGCTTTCCACTTGCAAGATTTTAAACCTGTGCATGCCTTTCTTTATCCAAACAGCTGAAGGCAGCGGTGCACTTGGCTCCCTTTATCTTCTCAGCAACCCTGTGAGGTAGGCTCTAGGCTGAGAGATGGTGACTCATCCAAAGGCGACTCATGAGCTTTGTGCTGAGTGAAGATTTGAACCTGAGATTCCCTGGTCAAAATCCAGTACTCTATCTGTAAAAATTAGAGAATAAGCACCAATGTCATTTTATTTACAGTCTTAGACTTCTAGTTTGCTCCACCTACCGTGGCCTGTTGCAAAAGGGGCCTGTGATCTTGCAAATGCTGCACCAAAGCAGGACCTCAGTAGGCATTGCTGTATAGAACATTTCCAGGAGTAGAAGCCCCGTTCTCTTTTTGCATTGGGTCACCCCGATTCCATCCTTCTCTATCTTCATAGAGAAAGGGGTGGGAAATCTTTGCATTACTATTATTTATCTTTATAGCTATCAGGCTCTTCACAAATTCTTTCTCAGACCCATTTTCAACTTTCTCATTACCTCTTTGGTAATTGTCCATGTTGTAATTCGTACCTTTGCCCATTTTGTAATTTCCTCACAGACATCTTTATCAAGCGTGTACCCTTTTCAGCTGATATATCAGGCCTGCCTGCCACACACACACACGGGGTGGGGGAGGGGGTGGCCTTGTGTACACTTAGTGTGTGTGTGTGGGAGGGGGAGTTGATGAAAGTTGACTTGAAAATAAATTGCACTGAGATTAATCCATACTAAGTGAGCATAGGATAGCAGGTTTTAAAAAAACAGAAACAAAACCAACTAGACACACATCAAGGAAGGAAAAACTGCTTTTTTTATCTCAGAGGGAGGTAACCATTTAATCGGGTGTGATGTTCACATCTCACAAAGAATACCATACAAGAACAAGGAGGCACACATTTGGAAAGAGTGTTAAGGACTGTGATGAAAGGCTCCCAGCTAAGAGAGAAGAATCACAGGGAGAAACCAAAGATGGACAACCAGGTTTCCTATTTGGGGCAGGTTAAGTGAGGGCACAGAGGAATTTTTGCATTTTACCATTACCAAGTCTATGTTCAGGTGGACAACTGTTCCTTTTCTGTTTTGTCTCTCTCCTGATCCAAGAGCTCCATGAGCAAGCCACAACACAGAAGAGTACAAAATTCCAGGTTTAAATGACTGAGTTTATATCTGGGGCCACTGTGAGGCCATCTTAAAGCCGAAGAAGACCTTTATCATTTGACTCCTCCCCCACCCAGAAGAAGAGGTTAAATTTCCATGTTTGGATGAGGGAAAAACCAGAGCCACCACTCAGCAGAAATGAGGCACAGATTTTGGAAACAGATACATAAATAATTTGCTTTCAGGAGGGTCCAGTTTCAAAATGTGAACGGAAGATAAGAGTGCATTTGAACACTTGCAGATGATTTATGTCATCGTTCAGGGCCTTCTTCTCCCACTGTAGCCTGCGGTGGTTTCAGCAGGGAAAAAACTCAGCCTCAGATAACATCTGGCTAGCATAGAAACCTGGAGGCCAGTAACAAGGCCCATGTCAGGCTGGGCAATGTGTGGTCCCACACATGCTTTGGCCTGTAATTCCCATCTTTCCTTAGTTGCAAGCCAGAAGTCTGTAGAAATGTTAAAATGTGAATTTCTAAAAATGTGTTTTAAAATCTAAGACTAGATCATAAACCACACTGACATTTTGCATGCTGAATTTCCAAAAGCTCTAAATTCACCAGCATCCACATTTTAATGAAATGGAAAATAAAATACCCAAATGTATGTAAGTCTATTCATTGCATTAAAAATTACTATCAACAAGCACACATTCAAGCTTTAGTTCAGACTATCTGACAAGGTAAGGCCAGTTTAAACTCAGGTATTTTAAGGTGAAATGAGAGGGAAGCTGCAAAAACACAGCTCAAGGGGGCTTATGGGGTGCTACTATGGGGAGGTCACAACTGATCCACTCAGGAAAAGGAATGGGAGAGGCCAAGTTTTATCTTCTTTGGCATCTGGCAATCGTGACCAAAAAATGGGGAAAATGCACATACATGGTTATCGCAGGGGTGGCCAAATCGAGGCTCCAGAGCCCTATGTGGCTCTTTGAGTCTATCTTGCAGCTTGCTGCCTCTGCCGCCATCCACAGGTGCCCACTTGCAGCTCTCAAACATCTGACATTTACCACATGTGGCTCTTCCACTGAGCAAGTCTGGCCACCCCTGTTATATGGCAACTCCAAGAACTCGTGGAAGAGTAGAGCTGGAAGGGGCCAGAAGGCCACTGGGCCCAGTCCCCTTCTCAGCGCAGGGCTCCCAGTTACACCACCGCCATCCACTGGCTGTCCAGCTGCATCCGGGATGACTGTAGCGTGGAGAGCCCACAACCCCCTAGGGCAGTGGCTCCATTGTCATACTGCTCTAGCAGTCAGGAAGTTCTTCCAGATGGCCTGCCGGAAGCTGGCTTCCTGTAACAGGGACCTGTTATCCCATGTCCTGCACTCTGCGCTCTGGGTTGATCCAGAAGAAATCCTGCCCTTCCTCTTTGAGACAGCCGTGCTGCTTCTGTGGCAGTCTTGTTTCCTCCCAAGGCCCAGCCTCAACGGAACAAACATCTATGTTACACAGAGGAACTAGAGCTATCCTGCTCCCTCTCCTGCATTGTCCAATCCTGGAGGAGAAAATGGTCACCACTTCTTCCCACACTTGTCAATCACACCACTGGCTTGCTCTCATTGGCCCAAACCATTGCCCCAGGAATGGCTAAGAAGAGTGAACGCTATGGAAAGGGCTTTAGCAGAATCTGTGAGCCTCACCTGCAGATTCTCAAATACTTAGCTGAATTGGTTTCTTCCTGGTGCCTTTGAAAACCAGAAGAGCAGTACGGGTGGAAAATGTGATGAGGCTAGGACCCCCTAAGACCTGTAATTCAAGTATTGCCTAAAAACTGGAGATGCAAATACTTTATTATGTGTTGATTTAATTAATTTATTTATATTCCACTAAATCCTCCCTAAGCAGATTTATCTTGACACTTAACTTGGCTTAGGACAAGCCTCTCTCTCAGTCTTCACATCTGTAAAATAAAGGATATAGCCACCCAGGTTTGCCCTACCAAGTTGTTGTAAGAGAACATGAGGAAAGAGGCACAGTAGTTTGATCCATTAAAATATACATATATATGCTGTACAAAAATACCTTTTGAAAAAGCAGTGGGAGATGAGTATGAAGAGATCATTTTTTTACTTGGCATTTAGTTCTCCAAAGAGAAAAAGCTTTTAAAATTAAAACAAATGCTCAGAACCTGGGCCTCGTGATATACTGCTAGTCAGTAAGGTGGCCGAATTCAAAAGAAGGGTAGTGCTCCTTCACCTTTGATAATTGGGTGGGAGGAAGAATTTCAACAAGTGCTTCATGACAAGC